GCAAGCAGGGCTGGGCCGGGGGTCTCAGACCGGGGGAAACCAGGCCATCAGAAGATGCCCCAAGAAAGTCAGTTCTGCCTGAAGGAAATACACAATATTTTACTCACTCACTCATTCAATAGATATTGGCAAAACAGCCCCTGTGGACTAGACATTATCCTAGTTGCTAGGGAAACATAGAATTTTCCCCTAAGCATCTAGCTTCCAGGTGTTTTTCCCCCCCGTGTACTAAAGTATCCAAGTAGAAAACGTAGAAAATAGAGAAAGCATGAAGAGAAAAATTAATCTCCCAGATGCTTGCCTCTTAGAGATAATCTTTGTTAGTATCTGGTATATATCCTCCTTGTTTGTACATAATACAGATTCTTAATCTCAGAATTATGACCCTATCACATAAACCACTTTTTTTCTTTTAGTATTGTATTCTGAGAAGGTTCTTCTACTTCCAAGATCATCTATGAATACGACTTTTAATGGATGGAGAGAATTCCATCTCAGGAACAGACAGTAAATTAGTTAACCAACCCACAACTGTCGATCATAGAAGTTGTTCCAGATAAAGAAGTTCACCCCCCCACACTGTCATTTATGTCAACATGCCAACTAGTATTTTTATGAAAAATGAAAAAAAACCCATCTAAATAGTTGGTTGTCTCCTATCTGAGCCGCGCATCAGAACACAAGTGAGTGAAAGTTACAGAATTACCGCAAATAACCTTCAATTTCCTCTAATTTGTACAAAAGTTCTGAAACGTCTGTGCTGCTAATACATTATTTTAACGATTATTACTTTCGGGAGGATAATAAGCAGCGTTGGCAAGGGATGAAGAGAAAAGAACACTTACATATTTCTGGTGAGAGTTCAAGTTCTCATTGTGTTGAAAGATGTTAAAATGCTCACCCCAGCATTTTACCTTCGAAGAACTTATGTTAAGGAATTAGTATTAGGGATGTGTACACAGATATATGGAAAACAATATTTATATCAGCATTATGTTTTTGTGCTTAATACACAGGAACTTCTAAAAACAGAAGCTATAATTATCCATATTATTATCATCAATTCCTCTTCCAGCCCCATCTGGCTTTTAGAAAAAGAATATTATAATTAATATATTTCTACATTGTGTGTCATCTCTTTCCAGAATTATTTTTTGACACTTACATTGTTTCATAATCATGTTAACTGCAGCTATTGAGAAACTAACTAAGTTTTAGGGTTCTTTGTTCGACGGTATTTCTTTTCTGCTGCTTTTTCTCAGATCAGCAGAATTTATTTTGCTTCATTTTTCAGCCACCTGTAGTACTTCTTTGGTTATTATTTCTTTTGGAGGAGGTAATAGCCGCGGCAGTGTCCTGAGTCTTTCCTCGTAAGACCACTCACTTGTAAAAACGGCTCTCAGCTGCAAACATCATTCTAGGTTCTCCATCTCTCTCCTTCCCTAGTCTTTAGATTCAAAACAATTTCATCTTAGCATTTGAAGAGAGGTGTGGCCAAATGAAATTTCTTTTTTGAAGGAGTTTGGGGTTTCCTCCCCAGAGGACAACATTTTTATAGGATTTCAAATTTTATTTTTAAATTTCAAACACTATATCCATGCATGTTGCAAAGAACACTCTCGGGGTGGCACACCTTTTCTTAAAGAGCCAGGAGACTTCATGGGTCGCAGGGTTTCTGTCCCAACCACGCGATGCCGCGGCCACAGCTGGGAGCCGCCATAGAGAATGTGTAAATGAACAGGCGGAGTGAACAGGCAATAAATAAAACTTTATTGACAAAAAGAGGTGACCGGCCCAAAGGAGGTAGTTTGCCTTGAGATGCTAAAGGCTCAAGTCTTTCCTTAGCTCAGGGGAATTTTTTATGCAATCTTTAATAATTTTTCCCAATGTTGTTCCAAAGTTGCCATTTCAAATCTCTCCTACATCAGTACTGGGTGTGCGGCAGTGGCATTGACTTCCTTCCTCTTCCTCCTCCCTCCCACTGGCCCTCCCTCCCTGCCTGCATCCCTCTTCCTCTTTGCCTTTATCTCCATCTTTTCTCATTTTCCCCATTTATTTTCTCCTTTTCATTGATTTCCAGGAGCGTTCCTTAAGCTCATTTTTTACTCTCAGATTCTGTTTTCTGCACCGTTAAATCACCTCTTCCGGCCTTGGCTTCAGCAAATTCCACCATCGTGTTTTTTCACTGAGGAAGTATCTTTCTAAATTTCAGGGCTTTTTCCATTAAAAAAAGAGCCAAATCTAATCTTACGGGAAATGCTCAGATTAGAGATTTCTTTCTTGTTTCTTGGAAAAGTTTTACATCATGAGGGAATGTTTGATTTGCTTTCTCAGAATAAGCCCCATTTTCGAAATCACAGAAAGTTTTCCCATATCTGTTAAATCTTTTATTGTATTCCTGGCAAAGAGAAAATGGCTTACCCACTGTTAGAACCTGGGGAAGGTTCCATCAGAATCCTTCCTTCGATATTGTCCTTGGTGAGGATAAAGGGTTTCTTTGACTGCTTTACAGGACAACATTTTAATGTGGGCGTTCAGGTGACAGTGAGCAGAAGTAAGGTCCCAGGCAGGTGAAGGTGTAGCAGAGGATTTATCCGGAAGTTTCCTTTCACCCCGTGCAGGCATCAAGGCTGTGCCAAGTGATGCCATTGGTGGGGCAAAGATCTGCTCACCCCGCCCCCATCTCCTGCATCCCTCTTCCAGGTGGGAGCGTCATTCTGCTCCGATGGCAGGGAAGGTGACCGCTGCCCCGAGCATGCGTTCACGTCACTGCCGTGACGACAACAGCCCTACAGGAAGGCACCAAGTCCCTTCACTCCACAACTGTTCTCATCATGAGTCCCCTCAGCCACACCTGTCATTTCAGCCACGTGAAGGCCAGGTGTCAACTGTGCCACTGGCTGTCCCTTATGGACAGCACTGGGGTGATCCCCAAAGTCCCTGAATCTGCCCCGTGCCAACTGTTCCGTGGTCCGCCTTAATAAATAAGGGGAGTGGGGAATCTTTTCCATTTTGGGACCCTCCCTGCGCCTGCACTGGACTACAGGGCTTGCTGCTTCTTTATTTCTAGCACTTTCTCTCTCCATTATATCTTCTTTAAAAATCATCCAAGTTCCTTTCCCACTATGGCCTGCTGTACTGACAGACATCTGTTTTTCCTTCCTCTCTCCCTTCCTTCCTGCCGAAGACTTGGTCCTAACGAGGCTTTAGAGGGTGGGAATTGAGAAGGTACACTCGAACTGCCACCCTGCAATGGAAGCCACAGTTTGTTCCTGATTCCTTGTGACAACTTGAATTGGACAATCCGGGGAAATTTTCTCTTGCTTCGTGCAGTGACTCAATCTTATCAGAAGGCACCTGTGGCCGTCCCTTTGTTGAGCAGTTCTGCCTTCTCCGAGTCCCGTGATTTTTCTTTGTTTGCTTCAGTGGACCCATCACTAGTTCTGGGGGAGAGCGTGCGGGTCCCCATCAGAACTGCTCAGACCCGGGTGATAGGAGAAAGGAGAGGATTAAGTTGATAGAGTTTTATTTTGTTGACTCAACAAATAGAAGCTGAAGGAAAGCAAGCTAGACAGAAATGGGTAAGGGACGGAGTTGCTTTTCCGTGTTCGGGGTTTGTATTGGGGCCTTTCTGTCACAAGTGACAAAGTTCAGCTCAGACTGTGCCAGGTGACGAAAGGAAATCAGGGGTCGTTCCGGTACCAAGTCAAGTTGGCTTCAGAGAACAAGCTATGTCCTCGAGAGTCCAGCATCTTCCCCTTGCTTGGCCCTGCCCACTGCTTGGCCCCGCCCTCCGCTCAGCCCCTCCTCCTCCTCCGCTGGGCTCCCTTCATGCATGGACTCTGTGGGAGCCCCTGGACGTGCTGAGGGGTCAGGCTGCAACAGCTCTGGCCTCTTGTCCCTGCAGTTCAGTTCTAGGCACTCGGAGTGTGGGTCTTCCCCTTGGTTCCCACTGAACTTTTTAAAAAATCATTTTGTTGATTTTTTCAATAGAGAGAGAGATCTGTTGTTCCACTTATTGATGCATGCGTTGGTTGTTTCTTGCGTGTGCCAACTGGAGATCGAACCCACAACCGTGGCGTATCTGAATGATGCTCTAAGCAACTGAGTTACCCAACCAGGGTTAAACTTTTGTTGTATAACAGCTTTATTGAGATGTGATTCACATACCATACAATGCACCCACTTAAAGTGTAAACTCAGTGGTTGTAGTATAGACACAGAATTGTGTGACCATCAGCACAAGCCACTTTAGAAGATTTTTGTCATCTCACAACAATCCCCCACACCCACTAGCCCCATCCCCCACACCTAGGCTGTCTATATAGATTTGTCTGTTTGGGACATCTCATATAAACGGAATCATATAACACGGGGTCCTTTCTGACTGGCTTCTTTCACTCAGCATAATGTTTTCAAGATTCATTCGTCCTGTAGCATGTATCAAAACCACATTCCTTTTTGTGACTGGGTAGCATTCATTGTATGGACGTGCCACGTTTTGCTTAGCCGTTCATGAGCGGATGGACAATTGGGTTGTTTCCACCGTTAGGCTACCATCATGCTCCCGTGAACATTTGTGTACATTGTTCGAACATTTGGTTCCATTTCCACGAGGCACATATTTAGAAGTGGAATTGCTGGGTTGTATAGTTATCCTGTATTTAAACTTCAGAGGAATGGATGTTTCCAAAGCAGCTGCACCGTTTCACCATCCCATCAGCAGCGTACCGGGGTTCTAATTGCCCCACACCCTTGCCAACCTTGGTTATCGTCTACCTTGTTGTTTAGAGCCAACCTAGTGGTGGGAAGTGACACCTCACTGTGGATTCCCAGGAAACTCTTGAGAGCCATTCTGATTGGACCACCCTGGGCGATGCAACCATTCATGAACCAATCCCTGCGGCTGAGTCTACTTGGTGCTGGATTGACCCGACCTAGGGCATGAACTCCACCCTAGAAACTCACCAAGACCACGTGGACTCAGAAAGAAGACAGGACTGATTCCAAGTTTAAAATCAGAGCCATTACTAGGGAAGACAAAGAATGAATGTCTACTAACCCTGGGCGGGCAGCCAGCCAGGAGTCAGAGGGGGCGATGCCCCGGCCCGGGCCTGGCAGGGCCATCTGCTTCAGGAACAAGCCCCAGGGCACCCCTGCCATGGGCATCCTTCTTGCTGTGTCCTTGGCACACAAAATGTCAAGATTCCTTAGAGTCTGCCCCGAGCTAGGTCTCTAATCTCCATCTCAATCCCTCTGTCTTTTCTGCCTCTCTCTCTATCCCTCCCCCCACGTCATGTGGTCACCTCCAAAGAGCAGCCTGCTCCCGCTGAGCTGTCTGGGCTGAGAGGGGCGACACTGCTTCTGTCACACCTGAGTCTCAGCTGCGGTCTTGCGGGCGGCGGTCCTGAGCAGCAGGCCTGTGGCGTGCTGTGTGTCTTGCCTGAGAAGGAACAAAAGGCCAGGCTGGACGCCTGCAGGATGGATCAGCAAACCCATACATTTGCTACCGGAAAAAAAAAAGAATGAAAAGATATTGATTATGTGGCATTGAAGTGCCTGGGGCTTTCACAGACATTCAGAATTGGACACATCGCTCAAGATCAATAGCAGGTTTTATGTCTCTAACCTAAAAAGCGCCAGTGCCACACGGTCCCCACACTGTGGAGTCTGTGACTCCACACCGTGACTGGCCCACAATGTGACTCGTGCAGGTCCGAACACCTGGCGCACTGTCCAGGTGCCTCCGACACAGGGACTCTCTGCAGCCCTGGCCTCTTTTGGCCAGAGAACAAGGGTGGATGGATACAAGGATACTTGGGAAGGCAGAATCGATGGTCTGTGATGTTGTCACCTTATAGGATAGCCTCACGCAGCCGCCACGTTGAACGGCTGGGATGGATCCCCAGTGGGAGGGCTGCTGGTAAAGGGAGGCAGAGGGGGCGGGGTTCTGAGGTTGGGAATGAAGAAGAGTTGAGTGCCTGTTCAGGGCCTGGGGCTGGGATGGGCGCCCACGGGTTCCCCTTGGCCTTGGTTGCAGCCCTGTGGGATGATGAGTAACACCCAGGTTACAAGGGGAGGAACAGTCAGTTGCTTCCTTGATTGAATGGGAGGTTGGCTGCACCCAGCGGGGTGGACCAGGTGAACTCTATGGGGTCATTATTTCTGAAGCATTTTCACACATGCATGAACTCACCTTTGCTCATGCGCCCATATGTCTTACTAGCATGGGAACAAACAGAAGCAGAGCAGAAGAGTGTCACCGTTATGCCGATGGGTTCTGACAGCCTGAGGTTCAATCTCGGTTTCACTAATTGTTACCGGTAACTTTGAACTAGTCACATGGCTTGCCTGTGCCTCGGTTTCTGAACCTGTAAAATGGGGTAATGATAATAATATCCACATCTAGGGGTCTTAGGAAGATTAAAAGGGTTAATACAGGTGAAGTTTGGTGCATGGCCAGCCTTTGATAAAGGTGAGCTAGCTGAGCAGTAGTACACAAGCAGAGCTAACAAACAAGATGCCGGTGGCCCAGCCAGGGTGCAGGTTTATCTGGTGATTCCAACAGAGATTCTCACTCCGTTTCACAGAGGTAAGCCGAAACCCCCCTAACATCCCAGCCGCACTCACATGGGTGAAACTTGGTGCCAGCCTCCCAGGCAGGGGACTCCTCCCTGTCCCTCCAGCCTCCCCTCCGACCCGCCCCCACCACCCCACCCAGCTCCGTGGTATCTTGGGCAGTAGGAACAGTCCCTACTGGAGCCCCCTGAATGGGGGGTCTGCAGCCTTTCCCAGTGCCCCGGCTCTCCTAACCCCCACGGGGATGATTTCCTCCCCCTCCCGAACCGTCTTTGTTTTCTGGCACATGCGCATTTGTGGGGCAAACTTGTACCAAGTTCTCTCTCCCAATTTTCTGGCAGGATGAGACAGCTAATCTGTTTTGACATGCTCTCTGAACGGCCCTCAGATCAGTATACGAAAGAAGTCATCCATAAGTCATGTCTTTTATACACGTGTACTGGGGTGTACACAAGAAAGAGTTCGAGGGGCCGAGAGGCTGAAACACAACAGCCGCTCTTACAGCCGATTCAGGGTCCCTGCATTGAGTCCACATATCAAATCCCCTTTCAATGGGGCCGGTTCCATCAGCTGTCAGGTTCTATTAAATATATCCCTCAGACCCACTGACCAGCTGACAGGAGAGAAACTCAAAACCATACACCCGTCATTAGCATCATAAAATGTGAAATCAGCTGGGAGGAATGGCAACAGAACTGAAAACAGAAGAGATGAAAATCTGGACGCCCTTGTGCGCTTTTAAATAGAAACCCCAAGAGTTACAAACACACCCATAAAATACCAGGGCTGAAAAAAAAACCACCACCACCACGAGAACAAAACAAAGGTTGTCCTGTTGGGGCCTTCATAACACATAATGGTTCCTTTACCTTTTGTTACTGGGAGATTTGCATAAATGTTTCATGAGGTTAATACATGGGTAAACAAGAAGGTTTATTAGAAGACAGATGTGCTGGGTCCCCAGCTAGTGGGCTGCTTCTTCCAAGTCAGTGAAACGGAACCTCTTGTAAGGTTGCGGTGGTTAAAAATACTCACTCGAGGGCTGTGGCCCTATTTTTCCCTTTTTCAACTTCCCTGGTCTTACCTGAGAGTTTCTGAAGCAGGTAAGTGTGGGTGCAGGCTGCCACCCTGGGAGGAGATGGAGGTTCCCTTGGACGCAGAGCTTTGGGTCCGAGGAGGACCTGGGTCCTGGAAAGGGAAGAGGAAACGTCTGCGTGTTGGCCAGATCCGCCTCACCGTCTGCTGAGTGGGATGTTTGCTTCCTACTCGGGGGGAGAACAATTAGGCCCGTACTTAAAACCCACAAAGGAGCAGCGGATCAGAACGACCATGGCTTGGTCCAACTGCAATCCTATCACGATATTGGTTCCATATGGGGCCCTTTAAAGCAAAAAAGAAAAAGGAAAAAAGTTATGAGACCAATAATTTTTGATGAAACTTGGCTTAGCTCACAAGCAGGTCTAGTGGATGAAGCGGCAATCCAGTCTGGAAACACAACTTCCCTTCTTCCTGGCCCGGATGAAGGGAAGTCCTGTCCGACTGGAAGAAGACCCGAGTGGATTCGCGGTTTTGTGTAGCCCATTGGATGCGAGGAGGGACTTAGGTCGTGTGTCTTTAACCACACATCTCTGTGCGAGGCTTTGCTTTCTCTCGTGGGTGTCATTAGACCACTTACAAAGCAGGAACCTCTCTGATCCTGCCTTCTGAGTTGGGTTTCGGATGGAAGTTTCTAGCAAGAGTGTATTGGGCAGCTTGGGCGGCCGTAACAAAATGTAGCAGGCTTGGTGACTTAAACAACAGAAATGTATTAGTCGTGGTTCTGGAAGCTGAGAAGTCCAAAATCAAGGTGCCCGCTGATTCTGTTCCCTGGTGAGGGCCTGCTCCCTGCTGCTCTTCACAGGGTTGGGGAGGGGAGACAGACAGACAGAAAGCTCCTGGTGTCTAATCTTCTAAGGCCACTAATCCGGTCCTGAGGGCCCCACCCCCATGACCTCACTTAAATTCCACTACCTCCCAAAGTCCATAACAGTGTTCTGGAAACCTCTCATCTCCTGAAAATATTGTAAAATTCTGGGAGCAGAAAGTTTCAGAAAATGTGGGTGGTTTTCTCTTCTCTGTCATACATACACACATACGCACACACACACACACACCACTTTCACGTGAGGCGCCTGAACCACCACAACACTGACATTTTGCATTGGACCATTTTTACTGCAGGGAGCTGCCCTGTGCCTTGTAGAATGTTTAGTTGAATTCCTGGTTTCTACCCACTAGTTACCATTAGCAACCCTCTCCTGGCTGTGACAACCAAACATGTCTCCAGATATCACCAAATGTCCCTTGAGGGAGGACATTGTTCCCCGCCCTCCAATGAGAACCACTGATCTGAGTGTTTTCCAATCCGTTGACCTCTGTTGACAGCCATAGATGGCTGTCCTCTGTAGGATCGCCAACAGGAGGACCAGGGTGACTTCTGATTTACACGTCAGCTAGCTCAGCGCGTCTCCAGCGGCCCAGCCCAGCCTGTGTGGGACGACCCTCGGTGGTAGAACAGAGGGGAACGCTGGCCTATAAGCAGAGGTGAGTGTTGTCCATGCAACCATAGGATAAGAGGGGCCAGCCCCCGGCCCTCGGGCGGCATGACCAGGCCCAAGGAGAGCCTGTCTTGCTGTCACAAGCACCAAGGTGGGGAAGGAGGAGCTTCCCAGCAACTTCCACTTGTCCCTGCCTCCCATGTCACTTTGCTTTGGACGTCCCGACGCTCTTACTGCCATTTGCATGTTATTTGTATGTTTACATTTGTCTTTGTTTTCAGTGGACTGTCTCCCCGACCAGAAGGCAAACTCAAAAAGAGCAGAGACTTGGCTTCAAGTGGCTGTGTAGTGTGATTCAGCCAAACTTGGGGGCCTGGGTCTCAGACTGAAGTCCACATTCTGCTGCTTATTAGCTTTGTTGACCTTGAAGAATCACTTAGCTTTACTAAGCCTCAGCTTCCTCCTCTGTGTTTATTTATACAAAAAATGAGTAAAACAAACAAGCCTAGTTTCTATTCCATAGGACTAAATGAAACAGTGCTTTTCATATAATATGGGCTCAACAGATATAAGCTATTACTCTTCACCGCTGTAATTATAACCCATGGAGTAGTAGTCCCTGGGACTGGAAGAGACACAATCACTACTCATGAAATGAATGAATGAGCAAACTCCATTGTGTCTGTCTCTGATTTTCAATTCTTCCTGTTGATAATTACCTCTCCATCCAAACCCCTTTTCTATTTTCACAAGAGCTGGGAAGCAAAGGTCTAATCCAATGTTCGTTTCTAAGCAAGGACTTATAGCACTCAGATAGAGACAAACGCTCCAGGCTTGGGGACAATATACCGCCAGTCATTTTTCAGGGCGACATCCCACATTCTCTGCAAGAACTCTACTGTGCTCTGAAGGCCAACTTGGGGCTGGCCCAGAGACTCGCCTTGTGGGTTGGCGGGGATCGGTCAATGCTCCAAAGCAAGCAGACATTGAGACGTGTGGCCATGTTTGCAGTGGGTGTCGGGTGGGGGGGGGCTGGTACGGCAGCTCCGGAATGGAGAGACCAGACTGCCGGGGGCCCATGGCCTCTCTCAGCCATCCCAGTGACAGATCAACATCTGTGATAAGTGTGCTCAATCTGAGAAGGAAAAGAGATGCAATTATGTCGTTTCTAATGAATTCTGAAGGAAACAAAGAATTTAAGCAGGAGAACTCTGGAGACACCCGGAGAGCTGAAGCCTGTCCGAGCAACTGAGCCGCCCCCGGGATGATGCATAGCTGATCAAACATTTGTGTGGGTCGCAGGGGGCCCCCCCATCCCCCGAGAATGCTTGAGAGGAAGCAGGAAAACTCAGGAGTCCCAGGAAGCACTGCCCGACTTTTATTAAATAAATTGCACGCTCCTCTCAGCTTCCACCAGCGTCAATAATATCAACTTTTGGACAAACGGCTCTCTCTGGGGAACGGGTTCTGAGACTCACTCCTAATCTTCTTTCTTTGAAGTATCTGAGGGCTTAAAGGCAGGTATCAATATCTGCGGCCTCTGGCCTTTATGGAGGGGGCGGGGCATGAAAGGGTCCTGCTGCTGCCGAGGGGAGTGAGACCACCGGCATCCACAGCCCACCTCTCTGGCTGACTGTTTTCGTCCAGTCAGCTTCCAGGGTACCCCAGATGGCACCTGCCCACATGGGGTGCAATCCCCCAAGGCCCCCTGCGCCTTCTATGCCCTTCCAGCTCTGCCATCTGCCGCGCTCATGGGGCTTCACTTTGAAGAGTAAAAAACAGCAAGCCCTGTGGCTGTGAGCACGTGCCTTGGACTGGAATTTCTAAAGACCAGTTAGGAGGTTTGTTGCGCCATTAACTAACTCCTTTGGAAATGAATAGGAGAAATACATTCATTAATCCTTTTCTCTAAGTTCTTTTTAGCAGCGTGTCCCCCACGTGCCTCCTGACAGAGCTGGCCGTCGGCATTCAGGACGGGCATGTGGCGCGTGTCGTGAGCCCTGCGCTAAGCCCTCCACAGCCCTTCATCCTGTGTGTGCTTCGCACCAGCCCCGTGAGATAACTACTATTATTCCTATTTTATTAGATCCAGACCCTATGTTTTTAACTTATGAGCTATTAACTTTTTGTGGTCATAGGAGTTTGTAAAACTCAGAGCTAACCAAGATTAATGGGTTTTGTTACTACAGAAATTCTTAGCCTTTTAATATAGCTACATCCACTCAAAATCTCTAAGTGGGAGAACAGACGACGTATTTTTCTACAGGATGCTTTTCTGTGCCAACGCGTTTCCAAGGATTATTGTTGCAGGAGAACGACAGGCAGGCTGTATTTCTAAGGAGACACAGGATCACTGCTTTGTGGGTAAGACGCAATGCCGCAAAGAGGATTGTTGAATGATCTTGTTCATTGACAAATCATTATATTTCAACAAACCACTTGAAGAATTGCATGTATCAGAACCAAAATTTAACATAGAGCCTGGTTCAAGGCATGCTGGATACCAAACTCATAAGAATACTTGGGCGGAACTTTTCACTGTTTATGAACTCTTTCTTCTTCTCTTCATTTTTACCCTCTAAGCAGTTTCCCATCCTATGGGATCTTCTCCTGTGGTTGGAAGAGAATCTGCCAGCAGAACCCCTACAATCCTATCCCAGAGCAGAGGTCAGCAAATTATAGACAAGAGGCTGAATCTGGCTCACCGCTTGTCTTCTTAAATAAAGTTTTATTGGAACATACTTGTGCTCATTCATTTACACACCATTTTTAGCTGCTTCCATACTACAATGGCAGAGTTGAGCACTCGTGACACAGACTGTATATCCTGCAAAGCCTAAAATATTTACTGTTTGACCCTTTACAGAGAAAGTTTGTTGACCTCTGCCCTAGAGCTAAGTATTTACAATGGTTATAGAGCTTGGTTGCAATGCAAAACTTCTCCAGTAGGGGCCACTGCCTTACATACCACGCATTATATTTGATGCAAGCCACTGCCAAATCTTATTCTTTAAATTCCACACTCCTGCTATATGTTTTCTCCAGTGGGGAGAAGGAAAAAGACATCAGCATTTATTGAGCTATGGTTATGTATCTGGAAAGATCCAAATACTGTCTCATTTGCAACTATCTGGATAAGCAACTATGATCCCATTTTACGGAGGAAGAAAACAGATTCAAAGAGCTGAAGTATTTGACCAAGGTTACACAGTGGCTACACGGTAAAGAATTTGCATCTCAAACTCTGACCCAATGGTGGAAGCTGATTCTACTGGTAGAGAATGTAGGCTGCAGGATTACCCAGCCCTGTCAGGGACTAGCCTTGCGACTTGGGCAAGTGACTTAATCTCGTGACTCAGTGTTCTCAGCTGTGAAATGGGAAGAAAAATAGTACTTTCCTCTTAAGTGTTGTCGTGAGGACCACATGAATTAATTTATGTAAAGTTCTTTGAATGACTCTTGGTACATTAAGGTGCAAATACAGGCTGCCTGGCAATCAGCGGTGCTCAGTAAATGAAAGCTTCCCATTGGCTGCTTCCTAGCCTCCTTGCTCTCAGAACCTGGGCCACCAGAAGTGCTAAGTTTGCAGAGTAGAAGGAGGCTTGCAAAGCCAAGAGGAGGCTGGTGGGGACCGAGTGAGGGCCAGGAGGA